GCTTCTTGACCCGAACTTAAACAGGGCTTAAATTGAGGATTTAGGCTACAATTTTTTTTTTTTTTTTTTGTAAAAATAAATGAGACTAAAGATCAAAATTTCTAAATTTCTAGATTCCGAGAATTATAAGTCTACGAGTGTTACACAATCCTTCCTTATGAATACTTAATAAGGGTTAGATATTGTATCTCTACAACACTAAGTGGTAACTCATGCAAGTATACATGTGTCAACATTGTTACCTTTCAAGTAATAAAATGGTAAAAACCAAGTATCGTATTCCACATGGATAGGATCTTAAGTTGAAAGATCTCAAATTGAAAGGCAAACTTTAGATGGAAAATTTGAAGAAATTGTTTGGGTTTGAGTTAACACTATTGGAAATAACATAATAAAGAAAGAAGCATGGGTGTAAGACTTATGGTGAGACATAAACACAAATTTCAGCAGACTATTGTTGTGCAAATGCTATAGCAAAGGGTTAGTGATAACTAGTTCTACTATCTATATAGAGGAACGTCTTTTTATACTTCCACCATTGCACTATCGTTTAGCTTTCAACCAACATATCTCTATGTAGTATCAAAACATGTAGTAATGTCTAATGACGGCCTCAAAATATATGGATCAACAAATCTTTTTGTTTAAAATCACTCTCTCGAGTAGATTACCCATATCATCCAAGTTGATGTGTGTTAAGTGGCTCATCTCTGAGTCCAATACAGTTTAATACTTTGCTAAGTGACCAATCTATGAAGAATTAATCATTTTGAAAACATAGATTACAAATTTATTTGTTAGCAACTCTCTCGAGTTTACTTCTCATGTCATTCAAGTTGACGTGCATTCGAGTGACTTATCTCTAAGACCACGACATTTTGACACTTTTCAAAGTGATCAACTTATCAAAAAGTGTCTTGTATTTTATAAAACTTCAAATGAAATAGTGGAACAACATTATTGCGAAACGATGTCCATTTTCTTTTGGTTTAAAATCTTACCATTTGTCTCATCCCGAAGCTAAAAGATTTAGCTACTCATAACAGAAATAAATTGCAAGAAATGCAAAGAACATAAAGTAAGTACATAAAAATAAATGACAAAAATTAAATAACTGAAAGCAAATGTAAAGAATGTAAAATGCCAAAAGTAATGCTTAATTTAAAAGAACTTGGAAAATAAAACAACTACATTATGATACCATTCTCAAACTTTTGAACTCTCCAACTACTTCTAGAAACCTACTACTTGCTTCCAAAACTACTTGCCAAACACCTCTATTTATACTAAGTTCCATTAGCTAATCTGTGGGCAACTCTGTAACACCCTAAAACGTAAACAAAATATGACTTTTGAAAACTATAAATTTCCATTAAGTAAAGTAAGGCTTAAACCCACGAAGCGAATGTTCGCTAAATAAGTACAACAAGAAGAAATAAAATATAAATTACAACCTAATAATCTAATCCTGAAATGAACTAGATTACAGTCGGTTGTTACTACGTCTCTAAAAGTCCAACTTGTAACTCTAATGCTTCCCAAAAATCTCTACACGTGATGCTCCTAAGTAACACCAACCAAGCTCCTTAAGCGGTCCTAGATCCACCACTAATGGGGTCTAGAGAACATATTAACAAGAAACGTGTTAGGCTTAACGTCTGGTAAGCTCACACAAATACAAACTTTCAATAATAATAAGAGAAGTTAATCAAAAGTTGTTACTCGGAACCGCAATAGTGGTGCAACACAATGCGTCATAATAAGTTGTCCCAACCTGAACATTCTACACACGCAACATCTTTTGATGATGGGGAAGACTCGTTTCCATGAAAGTGGAGGGAACACAAACTATTTCCACATATTGATGTTAATATATTACACCTCAATTTCGTGGTTTTAGTGCAGACCCATAAATTACATCCACAATCACACGTATTAATTATAAATAAAGCTTATAAAAGAAAATTGAACTCACTTGCTAGGTTTTTAAAGAAACCCTAGAAAACTAAGCAAAATCCTCAAAGGTGAAGATGAGATCTTGAAACTTGACCTCCCACTTAAATCCTTAGGTTTTAGATGAGAAATAAGTGCTTGAAGTCTATGATTTTTTTCCTAAGAAATTCCCCCCCATCGAATTTAAAGAATAGAAAAGAGGAAACTAGAAGTAAATGAAGAGAGAGAGGAAGTCAATGGGGAAGGGGGCGTCAGCCGCTGGGTTTTAATCCCTAAGCGCCCTGTATGGCTTCTTGATACGGCTTAGGTCACCCGACCTTACATGGCACGAACACAGACCACACTGGGTGGCTTTTTGGTCCTCCAAATTCGTAGACCAAATAGTAGTCGAGATGAATTTTCATGCGGCTTGAGCTGCTCGAAAAGTTTTCTTGGTCCTTAGATGACCACAAAACTGCTCGTTTTGCCCATTTTTTAGACCCGAACTTAAATAGGGCTTAAATTAAGGATTCGGGCTACGATTTTTTTTGTAAAAATAATGAGACTAAAGATCAAAATTTCAAAATTTCAAAATTTCAAAATTTCGAGAATTATAAATCTATGGGTGTTGCATAATCCTTCCCTATGAATACTTAATAAGGGTTAGATATTGTATCTCTACAACACTAAATGATAACTCATACAAGTATACATGTGTCAACATTGTTACCTTTCAAGTAATAAAATGGTAAGAACCAAGTATCGTATTCCACATGGATAAGATCTTAAGTTGAAAGATCTCAAATTGAAAGGCAAACTTTAGATGGAAAATTTGAAGAAATTGTTTTGGATTGAGTTAACACTACTGAAAATAACAGAATAAAGAAATAAGCATGGGTGTAAGACTTATGGTGAGATAAACACAAATTCCAACAGATTATTGTTGTGCAAGTGCTATAGTAAAGAGTTAGTGATAACTAGTTCTACTATCTATATTGAGGAAAGTCTTTTTAGACTTCCACCATTGCACTATAATTTAGCTTTCAACCAACATATCTCTATGTAGTATCAGAACTTACGGTAATGTCCAATGATGGCCTCAAAATATGTGGATCAACAAATCTTTTTGTTTAAAATCACTCTCTCGAGTAGATAAACCATATCATCCAAGTAGATGTGTGTTAAGTGGCTCATCTCTGAGTCCAATACGGTTTAATACTTTGCTAAGTGACCAACCTATGAAGAATTAATCATTTTAAAAACATAGATAACAAATTTATTTGTCAACAACCCTCTCGAGTTTACTTCTCATGTTATTCAAGTTGATGTGCATTCGAATGACTTATCTCTAAGACCACGACACTTTAACACTTCTCAAAGTGATCAACTTGTCAAGAAGTGTCTTGTATTTTATAAAACTTGAAATGAAATAGTGAAATAACATTATTGCGAAACATTGTCCATTTTTCTTTGGTTTAAAATCTTACTATTTGTCTCATACCGAAGCTAAAAGATTTAGCTACTCATAACATAAATAAATTGCAAGAAATATAAAGAACGGAAAGTAAGTACATAAAAGTAAATGACATAAATTAAGTAATTGAAAGCAAATGACAGAATGTATAGAATGTAAAATGCCAAAAGTAATACTTAATTTAAAAGAACTTGGAAAATAAAACAACTACATTATGATACCATTATCAAACTTTCGAACTCTCCAACTATTTCTTACTTCTAGAAACCTACCACTTGATTCTGAAATTACTTGCCAAACACCTCTATTTATACTAAGCTTAGAGGGAGGCAAAATGTAGAATAAAGAAACTTGGAGACAAAGTTTACCAAAAGTCAACAAAAAGTACAAAAGGTTTAACTAAATTAATCAAACTAAGACTAGAAGTACATTAGCTAACTTGACTTCAAAAGGGCATCAGATCTTGATTTCGAAGTCACAAAAAGTCTGTTTCCAAGCAAACCATGTAGCTTACTGTGTTAAGCTCTCATAAAGCCACCAAAACAAGCAGATTTAACGCTGTAGTAATGCTGGAAACATAAACAACATGCCCATAAGGTGAAATTTGCACTCCATAGCCTTATTTCAGATTAATCACAACTTTAGCTCCATAAAATATGAAATGGAAAATAAGATAACAAAAGACTCAAATTTGGGATGCGAAAAGGAAAATAAGTTAATTATAAGTGAACAAAAATGGTTTTCAAGTACAAAACAATTAGTTGATCAATACTCTAGTGCTACCCAGTGAAGTTAAAGAACCATGGTCCATTACATCAATCATACTCGATTGGACAATCAGGTACCATTATGCAAGACAACGCTACCACCTTTTAATTGGTCCCAATATGGCAACTGGGTACTATATGGTTTAGCAATCGGGGTTTATCTCTAATTGAAACATGTAAAAGGAAGTTCATGAAAATGGTAGTGTCTTGATTGTCCAACCCCATGTGGATACCATTCTGGTTCTTACCAACTTATTACTTGGAAATGACGATTATATTGACCAGTGTACACTTCATTGTCCACTGTAGGCTATTTGCTAACTCACTCCAATTACACTTGTTTTACACGTACCAATAACCTTGGTGATATGATGGTGAAGGTACCGATAAATGGTATAGAGACAAATAAGGATAGAAAGGTAATTCAGATTTAGTTAGTGGCTTTAAAATTGAATTTCTGGACCAGTGTTGTGCGCTAGTGTTGGTAGAATATTTTATAAACGTCTTGTACCCATAAAATGTTAGAACAAACCGATTATATATACCAATATTCTATTAATATTTAATTTGCAAGTTACATTATTGTATGAATTAAACTCATCTATTTATATATTTTAATTACAAATCCATATATATATATATATGCAAAATTGTACAACTTTTTCACAAATTTCATTTATATTGGTTATATTATCGCATAGATATAACATATACAACTAAGGGTCAAAATTGAGTTACTAGTCGGCAAGTATTTTTTCATATATGTTTGCATTTGTGGTAAATAAAAAAATGAATTATTTTATATCCAGAAGGCCGTAAATTACAAAACCATGATCAGAGTTGGAACTTTAAGCCCATTTTGCCATCAAAGACATCCCGCCGGCGCCAAGCAAGACGGCGGCATAAGATTTAATTTGAAGCTTAATGCTTCCTTGGAGCTTTGGACCCATGAAATCAGCTGCTAAAAGATCAACCAACGCCATGTAGATAAGTAGTCCAGCTGATGAAGCATTCAGCAATCCCACCGTGATCAATGCACTCGGACTGTTCTCTTTGTATGTCTTCGACAATCCAATCCCTAGACCAATCCCGAATGGAGTTGTTATCGAGAAGAAAACAACCATTATTGCTTTCTTCATCAGCTTATATTCCGCCTGTACGTAATGTACTGTTTATTAATAAATATATAGAATTTTCTGAATGGAATAACAGTCACCATACCTGAAGAATGCAACCACCAAGACCCATTCCTTCAAACATTTGATGGAAACAAAGAGCTGCTACCAATGGCTTAATTGTGCAGACATCATTTGAGGCCCCAACTCCAAGTCCAATCACTATTGAATGCACTACTATTCCAAGTTCTAGCACCTACACACATCCAATTTTCATTTTCACTTTAAAATACATTACCAGAATAACAGTTTAATCAGATTGGTCTAAAAATATAAAGCTAACCATGGCTACGACACGATAGCGAAGAAGTTGTGATCCTATTGGGCCCTTTTGGGAATGATGGTGTCCATGGAAATGCACACCACCATTTGTCACCGCCATCTCGTGGTCTCCAGCGGTGGATATGGTGGTGTGTTTCGTTGTATACGTGCTTGTAGCCATGGAATCCACCATGAGTGTGAAAATAGCTGATAACATGGCAACGAAGCCCGTAAATGGAAACTTATGCCAAGGGTTATCAGTCAAACAACTAGATCTCAGCATGTCAAAAGAATCTGGCAACACGTGCATAAATCCAGTAGCCAATATAATGCCGGAAGCAAAAGCTTTAACCATGACAAAAAGACTACGGTCGGGGCTAAGGGCCGGGATAGATCGAGTGATGAGAGGCAGGCATACACCAAGAATACTGGTGACAAGGATCACAACAATTCCGATGATCTTCAAAGACAAAGCCTTCGATTTGTTGTTACAAGGGTTGTTGGTTTCATCTTCACATTGTGAAAAGGCTTTGGTGAATAGAAGTGGCATATACATGATGATGATCGAGACCATTTTTGAAGTGGAAGCCATGATAGTGATCTCAAGATTTCTTGAAAGTTGTTGGGATGTGTTTCAGAGCGAGAGCGAAGCTCATGGGGATGTACATATATATATGGTTCAACCAAGGATAGGTTAACGGGACTGTTTTGATAAATCTAACAACTTTGTAGTGTTACAAGGTCCATTTTCAACTGCAATTTTTATGGCGTTCTTTTAGTATTTTTGTTAAATAAAATATCGATTTAATTGAACTTATTAATCGTCGAATTACACATCCATACATATATATATATATACATGTAAATGTATGGTTCAAATAAATAAGGGAAGTCACACGCATGTGCACACATATATACATATAAATAAGGATATGTTTCGTCACATATGATATTAATCAATAAAATAAACGTGTTATTCATTATGAATGGTGTAACATATTCATTATAAATATATGTTTTATGATAACTAGTATTTTCATATTCATCATCAATATATACATTTTGAAGAAGGATACACGATTTTCAAATTCTTAATCAACTTTGGTTCGATTAGAAATCCCAATATTATATAACATGGGTTTTTATTTGTCTTTTGAAAAATAGCTTATATTATTATTCGGGGTTTTCTTACGTTAAATTTTTTCATTTTAATTTATATTTTTCTTCACATCAGAAAACAAAGATAAAGATGCAGGATGATGAGGTGAAGTGAAAAGAGGAAAGTGACGACATGTGTCCAGCTCGTGTTGTCATGTGCTAATATATGCATAATCCATGTGTGACCTGTGTTCGATATCCACGCGGCTACCACCTAACAACACATTCATCAACCTTAAAAACACATCCATTTATTTTTTTTATTAATCTGATATCCAACCCGCTATGCAAGCTGATTAATCTTAATACGACCACCTGTTTTGTAGATAGCTCAGAGTCACCGTATTTAAACCTGAAATCTTCTAGTATTTTTGACCTTTGAAGCCAAGCTCAAACCAATCAGACACCAAAATATTAATTTATGTAATTAACATAACATTATATACTAAAATTCAAGAGATATAACACATCTTCCATAACTATATTAAAATAATAAAATAAGATTTCAATAATTATATGACCTTGTATGATAAAATAGTTTATAAAAATCTCAAAATCAAAAAAAAAATTCTAAATAAAAAAAATTATTATTTTATATTTATCCGATTAACGTTTACCGGATAAATTGTTGCGTAAAATGTCGTTTTGATGGGTCAGAATCTTACCCGATAAGGTAAGTAAAAGTGTCGACTCTTACCGTATAAGCATTCGGGTAGACGACAACACTAACTTTTTAGGTTAATTTATTTAGATTTAGAACCAACTCTTTCCGGTTAATTTGTTTATATTGATTTTAGGTTTAGTGACATTACTGAACAGAAGAGTGAATGGTTTAAAAAAGAAACTATAACAAAACTGGTCCTATATAGAACGCCTAAAATGTCTAAGCATTCTAATAAAATACATTTACAAGACTTAAGTTTATAAGACAAAACAAAAAAGCTGTCATATCCAAAAGCATTACACTAGCTAGGTTTATAAGATGATTTCAGGAGTTTTAACAAGGTTTTAAGACGTTAAAATAAAATGTCGTATTAACTATTGTATACGTCATTATTTGAAAAAGTGTATTGTAAACAAGAATATGCTATAAAAAGATAGGTCTATATGACATTTTTTAAACAATGTCTTATAAAATAGCTAATAGGACACTTTATTTAAAAAACTTGTTAAAACACATAAAAGTAGCCTATGAATCTATTGTAATGCTTTTATATAAGACGTTTAACCCTCCATTTCAACCGAACCTTATAACCATTGGTCCTACAAAACTTAAGTTCTAATAAGTATTGTATACGACACTTTGAACAACCTAGACATTCTATAAGGTTAATTTGGTAACAAGCCTCCTCTAAGTATTAATGTTTTAAGGCTACTCTGAAACATAACTTATGATCAAATCACATACTTACGTTTTTTGTTTTTATTTCTTTTTATTTAATCATCAATATTTTTTATTCATGGTTTCATCAATCATTTTTTTTTGTTACTAAATTTTTTATATTTCTTTTTTCATTTGTTCTAGGAAAAAAAACATAAACTAAATCAATATTGACGGAGTTGGGCACAACACACACACACACACAGGCATAAACCGAGAGAAGCTTTTATGAGTTTTAGGGAATTCTACATACCAGTAACGAGAGGCTTGTTGAGGACGTGTTCGACAGCCACAAATAACAACCAAAGGGATTTAACAGGTTCGATTTCGTGGTTGATTTTCATTTTCATTGATTTCAAATGCAGATACATATTATTATTGAGACTACTTTGAGTATTGTGGTTGTTGGATATTGGTTTGTTCTTTCAATAGTGATTTTGCTTTGTGTTCTTACATACAATTGTTGTGACAATGCTTAAATATCTAGAAATCGTTTAATTTTCCAACTTGATAATGAGCTAAATTTGTTTCAAGGTTGACCCGACGTAAAAACTCATGTGTAATCCAATTCTGATTTGTTTTCGTTAGTTATATTTTGGTTTTAATTTGCATAAAAAGTACGAATATGTTGTTTGAGACAAACGTGACAAGTTTTGTCGGGTTTTAAATATTTAATCGTTGATTTATTTGTATGTGTTTAAATTAAATTTGTCATCACGATTGATTGGCATAACTTGGATAGTTCGTTGGTATCCCCTGACCGTGCTAAACGCAATAGTGTGGGTGGGAGGACGGTTGGTTTAGACAGGTATGGATTATGCCGGAGGTTGGATTAGTCACTTGACATGTTGATTTAGACAATGCATTTAAAATTAAAATATTGACTGGTGAAACACTTGGGTTAATAACATACAGTTGACTTTGACCTTTTCTCGATCATTTGTAGTTGAATTTCGTACACGTCAACTAATTTCATTCTTGAAGTTGAAAGTCGAACAAAAGTGGCTTTGACGTATAATTTCTTTATGCTCTTCGATATGAATATAAACCGTGAAGATGTAAAAAGGTATATATGTAAATTAAGATGAAAAGAGCCATAAAAACTACAATTACATGAAAAACACATGACTTCGTAACAAATTAAGGATCACTTTATCATCAAAAAGTTATATCTACGTCCAATTTATTCCTTGTTTTAATATTATAAGTTGATAATCGCAAATAAGAACGGAAATAATCATACAACGACGGATAACTCGTGACACAAGTGGTACGAAAAAAGCAACGAGGTGCAACAACATGTGAATTGTAAAGAATATTTTTAAATTGCTCATTCTTACATACTATAAATACTTCTCGTTCCATATTTTATACAAAAATAATGATCAAAAAGCCAAAAACTCGTTAAAGTTATCAACTTTGATGCAACGATCAATCATATATTGCATGATTGATATCTCGTGACTCAAACACAGGACGTTTCCGTTAACTTCGGGACCCCATAAATTAATTAAATTGTGCACAAACTGAAGCAATAGTTAACCATGGTCACCAAAATGGCTATAAATATATGTACCATTCTTGCTGGGTTTTCATGAAATTTGAACCATGCCATTGTCACAAAATTATGCCACCTTCATCTTCTTAACCTCACTTCTCATACTTGTACATTATGCAGCTACAGATGTACATCTCTTATAATTCGTGTGTGTTAATTTATTTTTATAGTGCTAGTAACATTAATTCTATCTTTTTTATTTTTGGATTTTCAGTGGGTGAATCATGGTGGAGATATAGCCAACCGGAGATATGCCGCCGACGAGTTTCTGATCAACCCTTCCACCGTGCACAAACTCAGGCTAAGATGGCGGTTCTTCACCGGAAATGACATATCTGCGACTCCTGCCGTCGCGAATGGAGTCGTGTACTTCCCGTCATGGAACGGGTTCTTGTATGCGGTGAATGCCTTCAATGGTGCTCTTATATGGAAACGGAATCTCACGCAATTGACGGGCTTGCCAGGAACCGGAACTTACATGAACGTATCCGTCTCCAGAGCCACTCCGGTTGTTGCTAGTGATCTTTTGTTAATCGGAATTTATGGGCCTGCAGTTGTGATTGCCGTCACTCGTGCCTCCGGAAACCTTCTTTGGTCAACTACAATCGACCCCCGTCCTCTCGCCCTCATCACTGCATCCGGAACCGTTTATTCAAGGTCTGTCTGTCGCATAACGTTCTTTAAACCTGTTGCGATGAGATTATTGGCGACGGTCTTGATCTTTTTTTTATAACCTTGGATATCCAACCTGCTATGCGAGCCGACTAATTCCAGGGCGACCACCTGCTTTGCAGATGGCCCGGAGTCACCGTAGGGGATTTTATTCTTCTTAGATTTGAACCTTGGACCTCGAGGTTTGACCTTTGGAGTCAAGCTCAAACCAATTAGGCACGCAATATGATTCTAAGGCTTTTTATCAAACTAGTTGTTTGCTGAAAAGTTGGCTGTCGGTAAAAAAGCTAAGTAGCTCTTAACTAGTCATGTTTGGTAAAAAATAGCTGAGATAATAAACCAAAAATTTAGGTTGAATTCTTTTTCTAAACATTATGCAGGGGATTTTATGTGGGAGTGTCGTCTTTGGAAGAAACGCTATCTGCTGATAAATGTTGTACATTTCGGGGGAGCCTGGTGAAGCTAGACATCCGATCGGGAGCGATTCAGTGGCAGACATACACCGTTCCGGATAATGGCGGTCGGCTCGGCAGTTTTTCGGGGGCAGCCATATGGGGAAGCAGCCCGGCCATCGATGTTTCAAGGGGAATCGTTTATGTGGCCACCGGTAACCTCTACACAGCCCCACCTGAGGTGTTGGAATGTCAAGAGAAGCAGAACAATCAAACTTCGAAACCCACCCAACCCGATCAATGTACCGGGCCCGACATTAGGTTTAATTCGATAATTGCTTTTGATATCAATTCAGGACAAGTTATATGGTCTCGACAACTAGGGGGTTTTGATATTTTCTATTTCGCATGTTTGGTTCCGAATAATCCCGATTGTCCACCTGGACCTAACATCGACGCTGATTTTGGAGAGGCGCCCATGTTGCTCACGATTTATTCAAATGGAACGACGCGTGATATTGTCGTGGCTGTACAAAAGAGCGGCTTCGCTTGGGCTCTAGATCGTGAGAATGGCGAGATTGTTTGGTTCAAGGTAATACAAAAAGCTCATTTTCTCGACAGACAATTCGTTGCAAACCACTTATTTGTGACAGATTTTGATATTTTGCAACTTTTTTCGTCGCAATGAATATTTTTTTAAGAATACGTGAATCCCCGCTAGATTCTCAGACAACAGACCATCCGTCACGAAACAAGTCTAAGGTGATATGGGATTCTCAAAGCTACTGATGGATGTTTTCGTATTCAATTTTGATAAAGCTTGCAGGACCAGGAAGCAATGAGGGGGGAGGGATATGGGGTGCAGCCACAGACGGAATAAGGGTCTACACCAACATAGCCAACGGTGCACGGGTGCAATTCACCCTTGCACCGACCAACCAGACCACGAGCGCAGGTGCATGGGTGGCTTTGGATGCAAACAATGGCCAGATCTTATGGACCACGGCTGACCCAAGCAACAATGCGGCTGAAGGACCGGTGTCATTGACGCGGGGTGTTTTGTTTGCAGGATCAGTGGCCCCGAATGGGCCGCTGTATGCGATGGATGCCAGAACAGGGAGCGTGTTGTGGTCGTACAACACCGGAGCCACCATATATGGTGGAGTATCGGCAAGTTATGGTTGTATATATGTAGGGCATGGGTATACCGTTGGCTTGGGGAAATTTCATCCTTGGACTCGTGGCAATTCACTCTTTGCCTTTTATATCTTTTAAATTGGAAATATTCCTTTTCGTTTAAAATTGGTAATTATTATTTTATAAGAAAATACATTTCGGTATAACTGTTTTCAAGGTATACACAAGTTACTCTAAACTGGGTAAGTTATCCGAAACATATTTTATTCTTCCTCTTTCAATCGATCAAGAGGGGGGGCTCTCTTCGGTTTCCTTTGTTTCATGGTTCATCTTACTAATACCATCCCACACTCATGTACACATGAATCGCAACACTTCTCTATGCCTAACAAATCGACACATCTGCCTTTAACCTCTCGACAACCTAAGGTGCATATGGTACGCAGGACAAAATGGTAGAAAAACTTTGTTTCATTTTGGCGCGACAATAGACGGGGACATAACATGGTCAGAGTGAGATAAAAATGCACTTTTTCTGTCCCACCAAAATACATGGAACAAAAATAAGAGAAAAGACACAAGATTGGTAAATTACTAAACTCCACGTAAACACTAAAACCTTTCACAATTCTTTCATCCACAAACCTCATTAGTCCGTCTAGTCACGTTTGTATAATCCTTAATGCACCAAAATACTCGAGTTTAAGAACTTATAGCACAAGTTACAGAAACGATGGTCCAAGTCAGGAAATGCAAAGACATCCATGAGCGTTCTGTTTTTGTTTCTATTTCTGTTCTTGCTGCTAAACTCTCTAGAAAAGATGGGAAGAAAAACCTGGTTTTGGTTCAGTAAATATTCATGGTGAATAACGTGGGTAGTAGTATTAATTACATGCCATCTAACCTGAGTTTCTACTCTGCTCCTTTGGTTAACATTTCTTGGGCTGCAGGTCCAAGGAACTCCGTAACGTAGTTAGGAGGTTCAGTGATGAAGCAAGAAATCACATCTCTGAGTGTAATGATGCCGATCACATCGTTACCGTCACCCACAACATATATCCTATGAACAGATTTCGTAGAGAGAATGCTTATCACCTCACCAAGAGTCGACTCAAGTTTGCATGTTATCGGTGAAACAACCTTCTTCATGTCCTCTGATGTTGTAGCAATGGTGTTCATGAAATCTTTTGTCGTCAGCTGCCTGAAATTAACCACTATATTAATTAACCAGGATGAAGATAGAATATATAGTAACCAAATAAAGCCTAGCTAGGCTTGCTTAAGTGGTTGGGGCTTTTCATATCTTACAAGTCCAAGTTCCCTTTTTTGGCAACCATGGATGTCTAGGCCAACTTGCACCTCCCTCGACCAATCCCATGGGCCCCGGAAGACACAACCAAGAAAATCACGAGTGGTCCAAAGAAGACTCAAACGGGAGACATATTGGGATGAGCCCAAGTCCTAGCCTCTATTTATCAGTTGACTAGCACTTGCATATTGGCATATGTAATGTCCAGTGAAGTACTGATGTGTATCAATGAGAAGGTGGCGGCAAAAAGTTTCACCCCTTTTAGTGTGCGTTTGGTACATAGAACAGACCAGTGGCCGACCCAGGATTTTTGGTGATGGGAGGCAGGACTTGGGAGAAATTTCTTGGCAGTTGGTGGGAACAATAAGTTTGTATTAATAAAATTTAAAGTAAAATCTATTTTTAAGATTTTGACCAAGGGCGGTTGACCCCCATATTGCATGGGGACGCCAATGGACAAGATGATACATGACATAACAACAACTTGTTCCATGCATGTTTAGCACGACAGTAGATTGGGACAGGACGAGACTGAGTGGAACAAAAAATACCAAAATCGGTGGAACAAAAATGAGAGAGATGGGACAAGATTGTTAAATGCCCATCTAGTCCTGTCCATTCTCGTATGCGTACCAAATACACCCTTAGAAAAATACCGATGGATTGGACCGACACTTTGAAAATGGTATCCCTATATCATACCTGAAGTTGGTGAAAATTTTCCGCTTGAGTAACAAAAATCTGATATCTTTTATGCTCACATTACCAACAATCTTCTTTGTTGGGCCTTCAACAACTGGGAGACCCCCGATATGGTTCTCTTTCATTTTCTTGAATGCTTCAAGAATCAATTCATTGCTTTGACAGCTAATAACCTGAGCATGTGCAAATATGAGGGTATGTTTAATAGAAAACTAGGGTTAAAATCACCATTCGTACCTGATCTTTGGAAACGAACGGAAGTCCCAATTCGGTTATACGATGCATGGTAATGGAATCAAACCAATCTCTTCCTTTGCATTGTTCAAGACCCTTAACAACTGCAGACTGAGTTATGAAGTTTTTAATCAGTGGTTTGCCAGGTTCTATGACAGGCACATTCCTCAACCTATACTTGGAAAGCAGCAATAGGACGCTCAACATAGAACTATCTGTTGTGACTGGAATATAAGGTGCCCAGCGGTAACTTTTCACAATGGATTTCACCTGAAACAAACATATATGGGCTATGTATATTTAGAGGCAAGTTAGTTACACATTTTCTTCTTTCTTCTATATATAAAATGACAAATAAAAGAGTAGGCAGTGCACACAAGGGGAGATCATGTTTTCGGCCCTCTACCATGGACACAAATATTTTCTGGTCACTCCACTACTAGAATTGTCTTTTCTTACCATAAAACCTGACATGCCAATTAATCACTTTTGATCATCAAACTTAGTTTGTGTGGCCATGCTTTCCAGCAAACTGATCAAGTTAATTCGTTAATAAATTGCTGAAAATTCGTCAACTCATTCTTATTTGCCATAAGTTAACACAGATGAGTTGCTCGAGAATAAAGTATAATGGCCAAATGTATAATTTTAGTGCTCGAGTGGCCAAAATATTTTACCAGACAGTAAAGGAGTGGAGTAAATACTTTTCCGGGCATACTCGATAACTCGCTTCTTTAGGAACATATAATGATTCAATTTGTACAAATTTGATCTTTTGAGGCAGATTACAGTATAAGAAGCAGGTAGTATTTACCAAGGGTGTTGCGAATATCAAATCGATTGAAGCTAAAAAATTCACGGTCAAAAGAGCGAAAGGTAGGTAGGGCATGCATATAGCTTTGCCATTTGATACTTCATAGTTGGGAATTTAAGGGAATTCAATTTATAAATATAGATGAATCATCTTTCCAGGCAGAATACACCACAATAGCACCCAAGGAGCATCAATGAAGGGTCTTGTAAACATTCAAACTATTAAACTAAAGCATCTAATTGGAAAGGTAGGGAAGGCATGTATCTTGCATCTTGGTATGTCAGGAATACATACATATTAAGCACACATCTTTCCAGGCAGATTGTCTGACACTGTCACAAAAATTAGGTTAAAGTATCAACACTTGTCTAATTTTGAGTGAAATAAGAAGACTAAATCTTGTGTTTTAAGCTAATTTTCCCCAATACATTCGATATGTCCATAAATAAGGAAGAATTTTGCATTAAAATTGATCTGTAGGTAAAATACAGACACAATGGTAATAAGAATCAGAGCTGGAGGTATGCTGCGGCACATTACTGGCTGGAGTTGCATTGTCATGTAGCAAAATCTTTGTGGATATAGTAAATTACCTTCTTTAACTAATAAATAATGGCCGGAGATGCACATTAGTTACCACCTAGTACCTATTAAGTTTTAATCAATATCCCAATGCAACCTATCTTTGAAGGGAAACTCACCTGGGTAGACTTAAAAGGCTCTTCTTGAAGGATAACTTTGTAGAAATCCTCCCCCAATTCATCAGCAGCAGTAGGAGCATCTTTTCCCATTCCCTTTTCAGCAGCCACACCACCAGCTACAGCTGCACCAACTGCAGCAGCTGTTAGCCCGGCTGCTGCAACTGGACCTGTGGCACCTAATGCTAGAGCTCCAAGAGCACCCGCAGTGCCAGCACCTAATCCTGCGGCAGTCGCCGATGTGGCAGTTAAGGCGGCAGCTGCCAAATCTGCAGTTTCCAACACCCACAAAACAATGGTAGAGTAATCAAGGATTCCCAGGTATCTTTCTTTCCAGTCCATACTGTCTCCGGCATCCGGGTTTCTCACTGGTGCTGATACTATATTGGACTCCGAAAGAACCTTGACAGCATCGCCAATAGACATGTCTGCTAGAACTTCAATCACTACAAAAAGAAGGGTGCAGGTAATAACACAAAAAATTTATTACGCATCATAAGAAAGAGTAATGCATGGTTTGATGTGCACTGCCTGAGTTTTCAAACCAGGTGACATCCTTTATTGATTGTGAGCCTAAATGGATGCCTTCATTTCAACTTGTTGCGAAGTTGATGTTTCAAATATCACTTCTTTCGCCCAAGGGAGGTTTTGTTTAATTTAAAGAATTATATATGAATTATTTGTTCAACTTGAAGATTTATAATGAATAAAAGTATTATTTACATCAAATATTGAACTATGACAATGTACTACCACACTGAAAAATATTCATACCAATATCAAAATCGAATTAAAGGGTTACTTCAAAATCAGAAGCAAATTTGTGTTTTTAGACAAATAGAATAACGTAAGACAGAATGAGAAACACTTTATATGATTACTAAAATTCAATAGCCTCATGCCGACATCAGATAGATAATTAATGGTTTATTTAATAACAACAGCATTAATTTACCTTTGCCTCGAGCAACTTGTGGAAATGATGAAACTGGGATTCTTGCGAAAGCAGCTGTTAGTTTCTCCTGCAGTGAAGATGACAATTTCTTCCTGCTTTGAATCATCTCAAAGTACGCATCATATTGTGATACATTTGATTTTGCTTTTGTTTTTGATTTTGCTTCTGCCTCTGCTTTTGACATGCCTCCCTCTTACTATATATGTGCAATGTATTATCTGCCGCAAACGACAACAAACAACTCCATAACTATCCCACAAAAAAAAACCTAAACAACCCCAACTACTCTATTCGTCTAATCACCAGAAAAGAAATGGAGAACAAACATGATTCTTCGTCAGAATCATCGTTAATGGTTAAAATTTCGACCATAACGAGAGAGATGATCCGATCAAAACCAAATCATCTCAAAAAGTTCCGTTTGATTGTACGATACCATATTTCAACAGAATTCGCATAAATTGATCGATTTCGTGAACTACTCATGATTTAAATTCCAAAATATGAAAATACTTCTTACCTCGTCTTCTCTGCTACTTGAAGATCTGATCAAAAGGATCGAAACACGCGACAAAGAAGAGGATCAGAAACAGAGGATGAAGAAACGAGGAGTCATGTAGGTTCGTTGGTGGTTTCATTCATCTGCCACGTGTAAATAGTGTATGAAGTGGCGGGATGGAAATGTGGGGAAGAATTGGTAAAAAGAAATGTTTCATTTGTCACCCCTAAGATTATGAATATTTATAATTACAATCCTTGTAGTTTGTTTACGGTACCATTAGTTTCAAAGGAATGCATGCTCTAAATAATGTCTTAAAATAAATAATCTCAACAAATTATCTTGCTCATAATCTAAGTGTTAGGTTTGAACAAATCTGATTGAATTATTATGATTTTGAACTCTCTCCTATACTTTTTTTTTATTAACTTGGATATCCAACCCGCTAAGTGAGCCGATGAATCGCAGGACGATCACGTGCTTTGCAGATAACCCGGAGTCACCGCATTTGAACCTCCGTGGCCACAAGAGAATTTGTATTTCTCCTTGGATTTGAACCTGAGACCTCCAGGTACTTTTGACTTTTGAAGCCAAGCTCAAACCAATCAAGCACCACCCTTGTGGTTAAGTCTCCTATACTTACAATGGCTAATAAATGAATTGTCTTTATAGTTTATAATGAATGCATAAAGTATGAACAACAACAATAACAAGTAAAATCTTGTATGAAATACAAGTTTCTCATGTGAAAAGATTGACGATATTTTTACTCTCGCCCGTTGCGTTGAATCTAGCACGAGACCAGTTTCAGACAAGAGCTACATCGACACGACTCTCTGCAAGTGGAAGGTCGGATAGGGGCTCTCGAGAAGCTCTTTCCTTTTGAGAGCTTTGTTCATTTGCCAACTAGACTTAACGAAGTTCAAATCACATCTTACATTAATCAATATGAAAACCAAACTCATCATGTCTCAAATTGAAAATCCCACATCTAATATTGCCATTGCCCGAGTATTATAGGAGTTACATTATCATGTCATCTACAGAGAGAAGATTAAGCTATCCCATGTCTAGAAAATATTTGATAACATATATTTCTGATAATGTTTACTTTGTTAACTTTAAAATTCAATTGAATCTGTTTATGTAATTAGAGCTTATTTAAAAGATTTTGATTTTAAATCGTATACTTAGGAGTCGTTTACCAAAATATTTATTCGGTAAGCACTTACGTTAAAAGTCAACATTACAATTTATTTTATCGGGTAAGATTATAGTACACATCAAAATTGTATCGTATACAACAATTTACCCGGTAAGCACTTACCGGGTAAAAGTCGTCACTCTCACTTACCGAGTAAGACTCTTCATCTTTATCATTGCTCTTACCAGGTGAGATTTTTGGCCCTTATCATGTCCATTCGATAAGAAAAATTATCCGGCAAACACTTACCAAGTAAGTATTTAGTAAACGGCCCGTTATACGTTGTTATACGAAGAGTTGCTTGGGAGATGATAAAAGGTTTCATATCCAACTCTTAAAAAGATTGTCGTTTTGTAAGATTTGAAACTTGGTGCTCTAAACAAAATATTTGGGAAAACTATAAAATTTCATAAAGTTCTCTTTGAAATTCTCTCTCTCCCCCTCGTTCCATTTCGTCTTCTCTCTCTATGATCCTAGAACACAGAACATTTGATAGAGTCGCTAAGTACAATGATTGTATGATCCAAAAGGTTCTGAAGCACTGATTTCTCCCTGATTTTGAGCTTTCGGAACGAAATCTTCAATAACACATCATACATTTTGCAGATTCTCACATCTTAAGGTTTGCGCTCTGTTTCTTGAGGGTTCTTTTGGGGGATTTTTTTTACTCTAAATTTATTCATAAATGTTATGGGAATTTCATTATTAATGAGATCACAATTGCTTAAATGATTGAGATTTCATTGAATAAGTAGTTTAGTTGCAGTGATTTAAGTTTATTTCATTCATACCTTGGTCTCAGAAGCATACAATTTTGATTTTGGAGATGCAAACATGCTACATTTTGTATTCATACCTACATAGAATTTTGAAGTTCTTCTAACATTCAGAACGTTACTATCATAATACGTTTTACATTGTTAGATGTGAAGGATGAAAAGAATTCTATGCGTACGAAATATTTTGCAGGTTTTGAAATTGAAATCAACTCAATTGACACTAAAGATTACGATGCATATCCTTAGGTTTACACCATTGATTTGATTATTTTCCATGAATGACATTTTAGCATGGATAATAGCGTTTAACAGTGTAGCGATTTAAAGATTGCAGTACTATAGATATTTTTGTTTTTATACTCGCTATATTCCAAAAACGTTGCAGTCCATCCCTTAACTTTGCAAAGCATAAGGATACATGTAATTGATAATCGTCAAGGAAAATTTAGGGAGATCACCAGGAGATTACCTTTCTTATTTGGAAAGTAATATATTGTTTGTTTTTCCCTTTATCTTTTACGATCTATTTATTGTTGTTGTCATGCTGATGTGATTGCGTTGGTTTTAACTGGTTTACTTTGGTTTATTATGCAGCAATAGTCACCCATAGTTAGATTTTGCAGACAATTATATATCACTCTTATGTGCATTATCCAATTGGTTATTGTGTATTGAGTTTTTGATTCTTGTAAGAAATTATAATACTTAATCCATCCTCATTATTATCCAAAAAGAGGAGGAAAGAAATCAAAGAATAGATAAACTTTGCATTTTTAGTCAGTTCTAGTGAAAGTTCTAGGAATCAAGTACAATTCCCAAATGGTTAATTACAATTTGTTCATACTCTCACTAATCATCATCATGTCAATATGTAGCAGTGATGATGGTAAAGAGGAAAGAAGAGGAGACTAATGTTGTACGTGGGTCCACAGAAAAAAATTATGTTCATATTCCATGTTTTCTATATGAAAATGCTAAAAGAGTTGTCTTCTTCATATACTTATCTCTTTTCTCTCTGCCTTTGCCTTTCAAACAAAGTGATCATAGAATACTATTATTGATGTGCGTTGTTAGGGCAAAAGAGACATGACTACATGATGTAGAGTTCACTTATCTTTCTTAGAAGAATGAATATTTTGGACCACTTCATGGTTTCCCAGGTTTAACTATTTGGCAAGATGTCCGGCCAAAGCCAACGTTTGAATGTTGTTCCAACTGTTACAATGCTTGCAGTAGTGAAATCTCGCCTCACTGGTGCCACTAGAGGCCATGCTCTTTTAAAGAAGAAAAGTGATGCTCTGACTGTGCAGTTCCGCCAAATTCTCAGGAAGATTGTCTCAACTAAGGAATCAATGGGAACAGTTATGAAATCTTCTTCCTTTGCACTAACTGAGGCCAAGTATGTTGCCGGTGAGAACATCAAGCATGTTGTCCTAGAAAATGTCCAGAGTGCCTCTGTTAGAGTTCGATCACGCCAAGATAACGTCGCAGGCGTTAAGCTACCCAAGTTTGAGTATTTCACAGAAGGTGAGATGACAAAAAATGACCTGACTGGACTGGCCAGAGGAGGTCAACAGGTACAAGGCTGCCGTACTGCCTATTTGAAAGCCATTGAGGTTCTTGTTGATCTTGCATCTCTCCAGACATCATTTCTAACACTTGATGGAGCAATCAAGACCACAAATCGTAGGGTCAACGCCTTGGAGAATGTTGTGAAGCCAAGATTAGAAAACACGGTGATTTACATCAAGGGAGAACTGGATGAGCTGGAAAGGGAGGATTTCTTTAGACTAAAGAAGATACAAGCTTACAAAAAGAGAGAGATTGAAAAGCAGCAAGAAGCTGCTAAGAAGTTTGATGTTGCTAGTGAAGTTTCTTCAAAGAAAGGGGCACCACTTTCGTCATCCAATAGTTTGGTATCTGGAAGTCAACAGAAAGATGAAGACATAATTTTCTAATACAAAGGTCAGTAGTATTATCATTCTCTTATGTCTTTCTACTTGGGATCTTCCTCATTTATCATTTTGGAAAGTGTTCATTCATTTTTTTGATGAATAAATTGTGATCTTTTAATTAAATAAGGTTTCATATTTCCTATCTACTAAATGAACAACCTGTGAGCATAGGTTTTTCTACGAAAAAAATTATCATCAGAATTTGTGTTGGTGTCGATTACATGAACTTTAAAATATGTGTAATACTTCACATTGATTAGGCCTATCTACACCAATGCTTTTCCTTGTACATTATGATAAACTTATTATGGATATATATATATACACATACATACATACATATATATATATATATATATATATATATATATGTATGTGTGTGTGTTCTGGATATTTATGATGAACAAGAGAAACTAAAAACAGTGGAAGCAAAACTTTGTTCACTTAAAAGTTACAAGGAAAGAGTTCAATCCTCATCATATTCTGGCCCCACCACCGGCATTTCGGACAAGGGATGTAATTGACGCTGCCAATGCTGATCGGAAAGATGGGTTTGAGGTTAAAGCTTTGGTTGCAGCTGCAATTGTCTCTGCTGAATGCTGTTGTAAAGCAGAACTAGAATTATTCTTGTAACTATCATTTAGTGATGTTGGATTCACCGCCTCATTAAGTGTCTGCCTCCCAAGATATGAAAATGCAATAGGATTCTTGTAGTTGGACTCAATGGAGGAAGAGGTTGACGAGGATGGGGAAGAGAAGTTAAGGCATGTGGAAGAAGAAAATCTTGGTGCACCCATTCCGAAGTTTGACGAAGTTGATCTATTGAAATGGGGACTTGATGTGAGATCAAGAGTGATAGTTGGGTGTGACTGATAGGTGGATATTGTGGTGTTGGGTAGATAAAATGGGTATTGAGGTGCCCTTGAATTGTAAGTCATGCCATGAGGGCTTGAGAAGGTGGTGGCTGTGGAGGATGCGGCAGTGGTGGTGAGGCCTGGTTGTGAGGTTGAAGAGGTGGATTTTAACATCGAGGCTGCTGCTGAAGTGGTAGAAGCCATTGCTGTTGCTGATACTGAAAGTGGGTGGTTGTGAGTTCCTTCATAGGTGGTTATCAGCACAGACCTGTCCTCGGCACATCTTTGCACCTAAAATAATCGTTTGAAATTAGTTAGAAACAAGAACATATGTAGAGTTGATAGGGAAGCCTTTTCTATACAGCCTTTCTTTCACATTTTGGCAAAAAGTCTATTCCATAATCTTTTGGTCAACAAAGTGGGCTTAATTTCTTGTGTTGAATTGAAAAGGTTGAAATTCAATAACTTCTGATGTAAGACAGAAGAATTTACATGTTTTCTGACTGGGCAAGATGGTGACATTGTGCATCGGTAATATGCTCGAGGGCATGGATTTCCTTTCGCAATTTTTTGTCCATATTTCCTCCATTGACATCCATCATTCATCTGTAGTGTAAATTCATTAAAAGTCAGCATCATATTGTGCTCTCATCTTAACAAGCATCATTTGCATACACAAAGATACCACGAAATGCATCCTTGATTGTAGCACCATACAACCTAAGAATGCATTTCTTACACCATCTGTATGCACTTTCCATTGCCTGTATTACACACACAAAAGTTATATATGTATATTTCTTGAACAATTAGTACCGTTTGCGTGTCACATATAACTTTTACAGAAACCCTAGCTTTCTTCAAAGGGATCTGATCTAAGAGATCATTATCCTCGATTCTCTGGGTCTTTAAACTATTAACTGGTGGCTCCATGATCTGTGTTGTTTCATCTTTCTTCAAGTCATTGATGACAACTCTAGTTGGAGTTAGGTCGAATTCGCAGCCCAACCCTAATTTGAGTTCTTGATCATCATCACTGTCTTCTTTGCTTTTGCTGAAGCAATTCACTTTCTTTGGACCATCCCTCTTAGGTTTATGACTAGAAAGTGTTCCAAGGCTTAGAGAAATGAGTTCAGTTCCATCACCTTCCTGATGATCAGGAGCCAGACATTCGGAACTTTTAGGAACTTCTTGTTGGAAAAAGTCATTAAAGTGCATTTGCGACAACTTGTAATCCTTCAAAACCCTAGTTAATGTATGTTTCAACTTCTGGTTCTCCTGTCTAACTTGACCCATATCAGCTTTAGCTGATGAAATCAAACCATCCTGAAGAACACCAATATAATTAAAGACCCAATTAGTTTTAAGTACAAAAGTTAACCCAGAACCCAAAGGGCTACAACGAAATGCCTGTGATCGAAAGTCAAACCTAATTTTTAATATTCTACATCATTAAGTCGAGTAAATATTGTTCTTAAATAGATGAAATACACGATACATAAACCCTGTTAATGGTAAGTCTCAAATTCATAACCATTAGTTCAAAAGTCAAGGCTTTAACTACCTGACTAGATATTGTTATTGCCTTATTGAGTTATCTTTTTGTTAAACAATAGTTTACCAATTTCCAAAGATTAGTTGGAAATCTTCAAAAACTGCATCTTTCTAAACTAGGATTCCCATCTATCTACTAAACAAGATTGCTCAATGTCTTTTATAAGATCTTGGACACTATTGATCAGAGGATGGAACTTAGTAATCCAGTAGATAATATACATGGAAAAACTGGTTTTCACGGTTTGTAACATTTTTATGGCTTTCGTTTGAATGAACCTCTTGAAAAGCCAATATCGGCTCAGATTGCTGAATATAAGTTCGATCAATAGTGTCAACAATTCCACAACTCTAGAACTCGATACTAATTAGCTTCCATGCACGACTTGTATTAATTATGTATGGAACGACCTAGGGACGTTCCAATCTTTTTGGAGACCCTGTTACATCCAAAACTTTTGAGTATGTATAAATGTGATATCAGAGAATATATGTTAAAAACAAAAATGGGTTAAACTTAAAATGATTAACAATTTGAAACTAAAGCTAAACCAGTAATAATTTGAACCTAAAACCAAACAATTAATGGTTTGAACCTAAATAATTTCGGCCATAGTTTTACACAAGTCGATAAAAGGACCCTAAACACGTGTAAATTTAGGCCCCAAAATTTCGGGGGCTTGTTCAAAATCTCACATTTAACATGCTAAGGTACGGCCTTGGAACGACCCATGGAAGCTAGCTCTTCAACCTCAAATCTCAATCATATTCATGCAAAACACATACCTTCTAATTTGTAAGTATACAAAAACATATATATATATATATATATATATATATCCTACTTGCTAGATTTCTACAGATGCTATATATCGTTCATTAATGAATCAATCTTGATTTACATACCTGCTTGTAATCTTCAGCTGGATCATCTTCTTCATTAGACAAAGAAGGATCCCCATCGTTCACTGCCTGCCCAACATACACCCATGATCTTAAGGTTAACGAAACCACAATAGCAACCCAAAGTCAATAACACATCTGTAAACCGATTTGAACCCAAAAAACAATAATTAAAGCTTGATGCAAGTCTGAAAATTGCACCTGGGAGGAGGCTTTTGATACTAGGGTTTGATCACCATGAAGATGAATGTTGTTCTTCATCTTTGCTGCTTCTTTAACCTCAAAAAAACTGAACATAGATTTCTCCATGTTCAAGCTGCTAGCAGCTTCCATGGAAGTAGAGCTTTTGATATCTTTATAGCAAATAGGAAAATGTATAAATTGTGTTACTTATAAACCTGTTTGATCGAATCACCAACTGGGTTTGACCAAAAAAATACTTTGTAAAACTATCGTAGTTCTTTATTTATTATTAGTTTTGCATGTTGCTTTGTACATGTGAATTAATTAATTTTTAAATGCGTTTGTTAAAGGTATATAAGTTAATTAATTACAACTTTCATTAAGAATCCCAAATTTCCTATTTATTTATTTTGAGTCTTCTAATAATTGATACGTATTATTCCTAGTAAATTATCATGTCTGTGTCAGTAAGTAAACCATTTATATTATATTATAACGTATTTAGGGTAATTGAAAAACAATTTAATGCATTAAGGCATTATTTGGTAAAAATAAATTAGCTTATTTTCTGGGTACATGTTTGGATACACATAAGCTAGCTTAACACTACGTCGAGTAACGTTTTGGTAGCTTATTATCACTTTTGCCAATTATAATCTTCATTACTATTAACTATTATTTATTACCATTGATTAAATAAATATTAATTATTAATTAATATAAATTCAACATTAATTTTAATTATACATTATACATTAATATTATTCATTAATTATTAATCATAT